ATAATTTTTAGAATATTTGGGATGAGACGATTTCTCGTAACAAATAAGTCCAATAACACACAGAAATTGCATATTCCAATAATTCATAACATTTTATAAATCAATGAAATCTATGACAAATAGTTGAAAAATGGTTAGCTCAATCAAACGTGTATCTAGTACAATTTTCAACTTTAGCATGTGGCCCGAGCGTTAATGAATATAAGCACAAGCTTATAAACTCAAGAGACATTCGGAACTCAAACATTTTGTTAGGCTGGTAACCACATAGTGTGGCGATTAATTCCAAGCTATATATTTATGGATTAATCGTGACAATTATGTCAATTGTATGGTATGGGGTATATGAGGAAACAATTGCAAACGCTTTGTATGTCCTTTTTTTAACAAACATGGTCATTAGCATTGACTCCATGGGCTATACTTATATACTAGGATAAGACATGCGTCTTATACAGGCTGAATGTATTTAATTAAAATATAAAATTTTAACATTGACAAATTTAAAATTTAAATATGATTGTTTTTATGTATATTTGAAATTTTAAAATTTTGCAATTTTTATATAATTATTTATACGTAGGATCAGAAACAATTGTAACTATAATTGTAGATCAAAGCTTAGAACTTAATGGACCCGATTTCATATATTTTTTCACTTTTCAGTGTTCGGGTGATGAAAAATAAACGGGGTGTCACTGGGCTTGATTGGTAGAGTATTAACAAGTTTCCTAATGCTTTCTTAAGAAGCAGTTAATAAAATATTTTCATTTAAAATATATAAAGTTTCAAAGCTAATTTAATATACTTTATTTATTTATCTAATAATATTAGAAAATTATATTTTTCAGAAATTATATTCTTTTCAATATAATTTTATAAAAAATTAAGTTAAATTTTAAATTATTTTCAAAATAATATTTTAAGTTTTTCAAATACAAATAAACAATTTAAAATTAATTATGGTCATGATTTAACATAACCATAATGATTTAAAAATAAATTTTAAAAACTAACAAATTAAAAATTAACTCAGTTTTATATCATGATTTAAAAATTTAAAAATTTAAAAATTAATTATGGTTATGAGAAGTTTACATTCACGTGTCATTCCTATTTATCTTCAATTTTTTCTCTTGTTGTATTTTTTTTTTAATTTTGTTTATTCCTCGATATAAATATTTATTTTGAAGTTGATTCTTATTTTGTTTGTTTGTTTTGATATGGATTCATAAAATACTTAATATTTAAAATAATTAAAGAGATACATACTTAGGTTAAGATCTGCACTTTATGCATAATAAGTATTTTACATTTTATATTTATTTTATATTTTTTTGCATATTATAAAATAATGAAATAATAAATATATATATTAAATAACTAAGAAATCAATAAGTATTATGTAATAAATTGGCGTATGCATATAAATTTAAAAATCACTCTTGTTTATTCGCAATTAGGGTAAATAAATCAAAATAATCAATTTTATATATTATATATGATATATAATTAAATTTAAATGATATAAACATAGTAATATAGCACACTTTTAATATTAAATGAGGTTTCTACTCATATGATTTTATGATTATTTGCATATTTGTGTAAAGAAATTTTACATCAATGATTTTTTTTTAATGTGAGATGTTTAGTAGTTTCAATAATTTATCATCATTTAAAAAAAGACATATTTCAAAATTAAAATATTAACTTTTCAATATATGTTCAATGAAAATATCAAAATATAAGTATGTATTTTCATACGATGTATAGTTTAATTGAAACGATATGAAATATATATAAACTAAAATTATTTCTTCATATGGTCTTATAATCATTATATGTTAACATAGAAAAAAAATTAAAACCTTGATCGTAAAAGTTTATATGAGACTTTTAACAGTTTTAATAATTTATACTCATTTAAAAAAAAATCAAAATACAACATACACCACTCAAAATACAACATACAGAAAAAATAGATTTTTATTATATGGTTAATGTAATTGTGTAACTTATTTTAATAATAAAAAATAAAAAAAATTGAGAAAAAGTATACAGATTGTTATCAAATCTTTATTGTTTAAAAGCATTAATTGTCACATATATATATATATATATATATATATATATATATATATATATATATATATTTTAATCATATTAGATAATTCCGTAGGTTTTATTCAAGGAAAGCATGCGAAACAATAAATATTTGATATATGCGACCAACTATAGCCTAGGAAATATTATATTGTTAGAGAGTATATTTTTTGGACTATACATTATATTACATGATTTAGAATCCTTCTAAATTAAAATAAAAGACAAAGAGCTATGCCACATAAGATTAGGGTTATTTTAAATTATTACAAATTTAAGGTTACAATTTTTTAAATGATTCTGTTTTAATATATAGGGGATTTAGTTTACTCAATAATTGAATTACATTTTTGTAAAATTCAAGTCATAATTGTTCAAGAAGTGAATACATATCTTCTCAGTCATGCCGTTCATTTAGAAACAAGGAAATATATATTCCTTCCGTTCCACTTTATTTGTCGTTTTAGAGAAAAAAATTGTTTCAAAATAAGTGTCATTTCATAATTTTAATATAAAATTTATAAGTTGTATTTACATTTCTATTTTTCATTGGTTAAAATATTGTTAGGTGTATAAGTAATTGTATTTTTATTTTAAAAATATGCAAAACTAAATGATTTTTTAATCAATGTGTCTAAATTTAAAATAACAACTAAAATGAAATGAAGGGAGTATTTTATAGGGTGTCCAACGGGAACCATCAAACAGAGTCAACCATGCTTTAAGCGAATCTAAAGCATTGGAAGAAGCACACTCTCCCGGCTCACACCTTATAATATGTCAGCCAGGTTGACGATCTGGAAGAGTTTTGATTAAACCTTGGGACTGGGGTGGATCTGTTTATAAAAACATTAGATAAACAGACGACGTTGGGAGCCAAATGCAAAAATGGAGCTACAAGTATTTGATGATGATTAAAATATCAAGGCTGTAATTAAGATTGTTAACAAATAATCGTAGTTAAAGACTACTACACGTTGAGCATTAAATGTGGCAATAAATTCTTCACTCGTTACTTGTATTTTTCTTTTTTCCATGCTTATAGAATCCTAAGATCTAAACTGAGTAACGTAAGAAAAAGAATAAGGCCTAGATCCGTCCTCCACTTTTTTTATAACGAACACTGAATCGAAATTAGTACATCCAAAAGGATTTAGTACCCCCACACTAGGGCGGACCTAAGGCATGACTGCATGAGGGGGTATGGCATGTGCTCCACCCTAATTATTTTTTTCCATTAATAACTAGTGTTAAGTTTAATCAACTACATCTATACTAACCTTTTAGTTATAAGAAAATAGTTCTGAGCCCTATACCAAAACTCATCCGCCACTGCCCCTACATGTAAATCATGCGCAGTCTACGGTTACATTCAGGGAGTGTTCATCGAGAATTTAACTAACATGTAGATTAATATAATACGTATAGCATTTTATGCTGGTCTTCATTTGCAATACGCACCTTGACTTATAATGAAACTCATTTGATAAGAATGTATTTCTTTACCTCTACTTGTTTACTTACATAAATCGTTTGTTTTCTAGCAATTTTGGCAAAATATTAGAGACATCATTTTCATTTCTATTGTTCTAATTATATTCATTACTGTATCGAATTAGTGTAAAGATTTCAGCTTATAAGTCTCGGTGTATCATGATAACCTCATCAAATGAAATATTAATTTTGTTAAATGCAAGTACATGTTTTAGGTTCGTTTCTAAATCGACACTGTGTGTATCAATTATGCTTTCAGCCTTTCAGTAAATTTGATTTTCTCAAATTGCATCTTCAAGGGACTACGGATGTTCTCGATTCTACTTTAAATTGTGTTGACAAGAATTAGACTTCTGATGGAACTTAAATTATTCACACTGTTTATCACATTCAGTGAATGCCTAGCATTTACCAATAGTGATTGGGATGGACCAAATGGTAAAAAATGTGTATATTTTAAAACAATCCTCAAAATAACATATTTATAAGTTTTATTTTCTAAATTACATTTCTATATCTAACATCTATTATATAAAGTAGAGTTGAATCTCTCCTTAGTGTGCCACATGGGATGACATGTCATTAAGTCCACGTCACTCCCCGTCCACGTAGGACACCAACCCAGTTGAAACTCTGCGTTTCATTAAACAGAAATCTCCTTCTAACCCTAACTGATCAAACAAAGCTTTGAAGATTGTCTCTTCCTTTCTGCGGCAGCAACAAATGAATGACCTCTGCACTACCTTCACTGGCTGAAACGGATCTGCTTAAATCGGTGTCACGATTCTGTTCGTTGAGGGTTTCAATCAAGTCCTTACACCTTCTTCCATCAATCGAAACGAAATTCTTTCAGATTCAACGTATGTTAATCTTCTGAGAGAAGGTATTTCTACGAGTATAACAAGGTATGATTTCCTCCTCTCCAAATCATCTTTGAACCACTTTTGCATTTTTTTTTCGAGGCATAAAGAATCAATCTTTATAAAGATCGTCGGACTCTGACATGGTGGAGAACGCTCCTCCTACGTTTGCTTCGGGTTCTACAACTCTCTAAATCCAGAAAGGTTGAATCTTTGTATCCTTTTATGTAGTTTATGTACCCATTTGCGTTGACTTCATAGGTGTCTTTCCTTGATATTAAATGTCTTTGAGAGATTTAAGAAACAATTCGAGAGTTCTCTGCACATGTACGGATCATGTTTCTTAGTAAAAACCTTTAATTGTTTGTTTTTGTTGTGTTCTGCTCAGATTTAGTGTTCAACAAGTTCTTCCCCAGATTATCTCTCTGATTTGGAATTTATTTTTCCCCAGATAAGAGTTCGACCAAACCAGAAGGAGGCTGACATCAAGATGATGTGTGCTGCTGAGTTCACCTTGGAACCAAGAACTGCAATTACCAAATGGAGCGTTATGTCTTCAAGAGACGCAACGACGGTAACTCTTCTCTTCTATCTTTTTAAATGTTCACTTATGTATATATATAGAGATGGTTAGAGCAATGAGATTATGTGTTGATATGGATCTTAACAGCTGCTTACAATCTAACTAGCCATGTCTCATCATTTAGTGTATTAATATGTCTAGATAACTACTCAAGTACTGTTTTGTGTTTATGTTCCTGTCTACTCAGATTGGTTCGGTATTTATATAGAATATAGTTTCTATTTGGTATATGAGTAAGAAAATTGAGACAGTGGAGTATAGCCGTCATTGTGAGTTCTATTATTTTATTAGTTTGTGGTTTACACTCTTCTGGTTGATGTTTGAGTCTGTAAAAGTTGAAAATGTTTTTTTTTTTTTTTGAAATGTTCTTACTCAGATATTTACATCTTTAATCTTGGCAAAACATGGGAGAAGCTGATGATGGCTGCTAGAGTTATCGTTGCGATTGAGAACCCACAAGACATCATTGTTCAATCTTCTAGACCCTATGGTCGGAGAGCTATCTTGAAGTTCACTTAGTACACTGGAGCCAATGCTATTGTCGGAAGACACACTCCTGGTACCTTCATTAATCAGATGCAGACCTCATTCAGTGAGCCAAGGCTTTTGATTCACTGGTCCACGACCACCAGGTAAAGTCAAGATTTGGACTAATGAGTTCTTTTTCCTGATTGAAATGATGGTTTTATCTTAACTTTGATCTTGGTTGTTTGTGTATGTGTTGCAGCCCATCAAAAAGGTGCTTTGGGAAACATCCAATCATTGCTTTCTGTCACACTGACTATCTCATGAGGTTTGTTGACATTGGTATCCCCGCCAACAAGAAGGGAAAGCACAGCTTTGGTTGTCTTTTTCTGGCTTCTTGCTCGCATGGTCCTTCATATCCGTGGAACCATTCGTCCTGCACAGAAGTGGGATGTCATGCAAAGACGTGAAACTTGAAAAGGCTTACATAGAAGCCTGTAGTTAAATATCTTCTGTTCATTTTAGTGTGTGGCTTACTCTATACATTGCTGTGCTGGTACATGTTGACATGTTCTTCTACAGGGAACCCGAGGAGGCTAAGCCAGAGGATGAGGAAGAAGTTGCACCTCTACTCCTGAGTATGGAGGTGGAGACCACTGCTGCAATCCCTGATGCTGCATGGCCAGGAGAAGCTCAGGCACCAATCTCTGCTGCTCCTGTCGCTGGTTCATGGAACGATTCAAGCGGTGAGTCTTTTTTCAACAGATATATCCTATAACCACCCTGTGTTGCCTCTCTGGATGTCTTGGTTTTGATGGTTTCTTCTTTGTTTTTTTTTCAATCAGTTGCTCCAGCAGCAGAAGGTGGAGGGGACCCGGCTGTGCCACCGCAGTGACCAACTGGGAATAAATTTGATAGCCTTTACAAATGATGTCATAGAACGTTTTTTTTTGTTGCTGTTGTAATTGAAGAGTGTATTTGTTGAATGATTTAATTAAAACAATCTTTTTAGCCTTTTCCTACGCAACAATTTAGCTAATAAATTGGTTTCTTTGGTCAGCTTGATAAACAACTTCGGTACTCTATCAAACCAAAATTATATAGCCATAAATTTAATTAGCTAAAAGAATATATTACCGTTTAATATATCAAAAGTGAAGAACTGCTTCCTACGTTTTATTTTGCCTTTAAAAACCGATCCAGAGAAATGGGAACTGAATAATTCTAAGAACATAAACTAAGCTTTAATGAGTTGTAAATTTTAACAATAACAATTGTTTATACGAAAAACTAAATAACAAGATGAAAGTATTTAAAGCATAAACAAAATATAATTAAATTGGATTTCACATTGCTTAACATCCGTTAATTCCAATACTGAAAATATGACAAATAGTGAGTTTTAATCATCTTAAATTTGTTGAGCAACACATTGAATATATCAAAAAGAATTCTAAATTTGCATATCAATCATATTCAAATAGTCAATTACAATATAATATAAATATATTAAAGTCTAAATTATAATTACATTTGCTTTATCATGCTTTTATATATAATTGTTAAAATAAACAATAGGAAACTTTCATTTGATCAAAACAGATTATAAGAAACTTATGCTCCTTCTTTGGCTACAGAAGAAAAAAGAAGAGACTGAAACTCAAATTTTCCTCCAAACATCTACAGATATCCTTATGATCTGTAGTTTAACAAATTTTTTCTACTGTATTATCTTTTGATTGATTTCGTTTGATTTTATTTATAATATTTAAAGTTTAAAATTAGAGAAGTGTTATATGTATTACTCCTTCCGTTCCTTAAAGATACATATTCTATAAAAAAAATTGTTTCTAAAAAATCCATGTTTTACATTTTCAATACATGTTCTATTAACTAATTGTAAACTTCAAAAAACTTAATTGCACTAAATAATTTTTTATTGGTTTTAAATTATGGAAAGAAGATAAATACAAAAAACTATGTAAATTTATTGTGTATTATTAAAAAGTGTGAAAAACTAGAATATTGATCTTTTAAGAGTAGAGAGAGTATAAAACTATAAAATTTTGCAACTTTGAGTCAACGATAATACTGAGTATGCTCACATGTCATTTTTAGTTTTATAATTCAAATTTGATGACGTAAATAAAACTGATTGCTTAACATAATCACACTCAAAACTAAATGAACATACACAAAAATTACATCATCGATAAAAACCGAGGCATCACATTCCGCGCGTAGCGCGGACCGGCCCTAGTACAATAATAAATTAAATCTAGTAAGATTTAAATATATATTGAGTGAGTTGGATATCTCCAAATTATCTTCTTTTTTTAGTATCTCTAACGAAATTAGTAGTGGTTCATGCAAGTTAATAAAGTAACCAATTCCCTTAAATATATTACTCGAAAATAGCAAACAAATGGGAGATTTACCTTAGCCAAAAGCTCAATTCCCAATTCAGTAGCTCTGAAAAGGATAGTTGTTTTGTTGACCAGTTAGTAATTCATGTAAGATAATTGGCTTTTTGCAAGTTGAAAAGACCTTTCACAGCTCACACTACACCAGGTCTTCACAAAACTCTCACCCTCTCATAATGTCGGCAAAGGTTTCTTTCTCCTTTGTGGAGAAGATACTTTTATCCTTTTCTCCCATCATTTCCTCAATTATTGTTGCATGAAAATTTTGTAACTATCTTCATGCAATCATAGATATATGCATAATGCGTCATATGTTGATTGGTATTATCGTGTATTCTCGTGTCATATGATGAGTGGTATTATCTTGTTGGTCGATGTGAAAGATTAAATTGTATTTTATCATTCATATTTTATATGAAAATTTATTAGAAATAGGGAAAAATGACTTCCAGTTCCATCAAACTAATCCGGGATTTTTGCAAATTTGACTCAAAACTCAAAGTCAAACACAAAACTAACCTTTCTTGTTTTTTGATTTTTCGTTTGTTTTATTCACCCCATCTGTTCACATTATTTACGAAAATACCATTACACTTTTTTCTTTTCTTTTTTTTGAAAATTATTTTTTTACTCTCTCAACCTCATCATCTTCAAGTATTTACAAGATTGACATTGCCATCAATACCCTAACTACCATGAACAACCAATTTGAAGCTCTTAATGCACCAAAAATCGATTTACCCTCTCTCTTTCTCAATTGTTATGAACTAAAAACAACATCTCTTTCACTTTGTCTCCATATTCATACAAAAAACCCAAGCTTTTGATTCAAAATTTTTTATGGTTGATAGAGCCATTTAAGCATACAATTCTTGGTGGGTTACTTTCATTTGATATTCTGGGTGGTTGGAGAAGACTTTGTGTGCTAAGAAAGTCATCTCNTCTTGGTGGGTTACTTTCATTTGATATTCTGGGTGGTTGGAGAAGACTTTGTGTGCTAAGAAAGTCATCTCACTTAGTTTAAGGTATGAAATTGAATTTTTTTCCAGATCTGTTCGCGTAGAAGACTTACTTGTAAGTCTTCTGGATGAGCTGGACGACTTACTTCTAAGTCTTCCAGCTTTGTATGTTAAAAAAAAAATCTGGACGACTTATAAATAAGTTGTCTAGAAAAAACAGGGTAATTTTGCATTTGACCGAATTATGTCAGATATTTGACTTTTCCTGGACGACTTATTAGTAAGTCGTCTCCGGGAAAGTAAAAATTTCAATATTTTAATAAATCTAGACGACTTACAGATAAGTCGTCTTAGGTTAGTTTTGTAATTGAAAAAAAAACTTTAATTTTAATTTTTTTTCCAGAAGACTTAATTTAAAGTCGTCCAGTCAGACAACTTATTTTAAAGTCGTCCAGTCAGACGACTTATTCTAAAGTCGTCTGAGATAAGTAAAGTCGTCCAGATTTTTTCCGGTCAAACTTTGCTTATCTCGGACGACTTTAGAATAAGTCGTCTGAGTGGACGACTTTAAATTAAGTCTTCTGGAAGTTAAAATTAAAGTTTTATTTTTCAATTACAAAACTAACCTAAGACGACTTATTCGTAAGTCGTCTAGATTTAATAAAATATTGAAATTTTAACTTTCCCGGAGACGACTTACTAATAAGTCGTCCAGGAAAAGTCAAATATCTGACATAATTCGGTCAAATGCAAAATTAGCATGTTTTTCCTAGACAACTTATTTATAAGTCGTCCAGATTTTTTTTTTTTAACATACAAAGCTGGACGACTTAGAAGTAAGTCGTCTCATTTAAATTTCAATTGCAAAAATGACCTGTCTGGAAGACTTACAGTTTAGTCTTCCAGCTGGATGACTTTCCAGACGACTTAATTATTAGTCTTCTACTAAGTCGTCCAGACTTTATGAGTATGTATTAAGAATTTGTGTTAGTCTTCTTAGATGACTAATAATTAAGTCATCTGGAAATTCTTCCAGCTAGATGACTTTCCAGAAGACTTAATTATAAGTCTTCTACTAAGTCGTCCAGACTTTAT